AATCTCTTTTGTGAAGAAGAGGGCATCCAAAGGGAATTAACAGCTCCCTACACTCCAGAACAGAATGGAATCGCTGAACGAAAAAATCGAACTATTGTGGAGATGGCAAGAAGTATGTTACAAGCAAGGAGACTTCCAAACCAATTTTGGGCCGAAGCCGTAGCAACATCTGTTTATCTATTAAACATCTCACCAACAAAGGCGGTTATGAATCGAACTCCCTATGAAGCATGGCATGGAAGGAAACCATCTGTAAGTCATTTACGAATCTTTGGTTGTGTTGCTTATGCTTTGAAACATCCTCAAACTCGTCAAAAGCTTGATGAAAAATCTGAAAAATGCATTTTCATTGGCTATTGTACTCAATCAAAGGCATATAAACTATACAACCCCGTTAGTGAAAAGATTTTAGTTAGAAGAGATGTAATATTTAATGAAAACGTGAGTTGGGATTGGAGTAAAGAACAGGAGCAGCAAAAGATTACAGTTGAAGTTTCCCCAAATGAAGAGACAAGGGTCAACTCCAGTGCATCTCCCAGTGGTTCCACTGCAACACAAAGTGTGTCAAATTCATCATCTTCAGCATCACTTAATAGCAATTCTTCTCTTGAAGAACTTTCAGATGAGACACCTCCAAGGAAGTATAAATCTTTAGTTGACATATATGCATCATGTCAGTTTGCTCTTACTATTTCAGACCCTATGAATTATGAAGAAGCAACTGAAAAAGAAGACGGGAAGAAAGCCATGACAGTAGAGATGCAGTCCGTTAAGAAAGATGGAACATGGGATATGGTTGACCTACCAAACGAAAAGCTTTATGGAGATTTACAAGAAGAGATTTATGTAACACCGCCAGAGGGATTCATAAAGGAAGACAAAGAAACAAAGGTATACAAGCTGAGACAGACATTGTACGGGTTAAAGCAGACATACTTACGAAGGCCTTGTCAGAAGAAAAGCTCTGTACTTACGTCTACAACTTTGAATCATGGGGGAGTGTTGAGATATGATTCAAAATGAAGATATGATTCAGAGTAGTAGAGATATGATTTAAATATTCAAACTATGAGATTTTTAGGAGATTGTTAGTAGATTTAAATTCTTTCTAGATTTCGATGATTTACTATTTTTGGTCCAGTGTATAAGCTATAAATACTGGAATTGTGTAAGCCTCGATGTATTGAGTCCGTAGACAATAATAAAGCACCGTAGCTTTCATCTATTCCTATCCATTCCTATCTCTTTCACTATCCCTCTTTCCAACAGAACCAACCAGACCAAGAATACTCGGTCCTCGACATACAAAATCTCATACCAAAACTGCATTCTCCTCCGATGTTGGAACTTCTGGTGTATCTTATTCCTCGGCTTTGACCACCAATACTGTAAGCGCGACCGAAATTGATTCTCGTGCTTCTTCAGTTAGTCGAGGACACGATACTCGGGGGAAACGCCCCGTGGAAGGATAAGGCCTCTTCTACTAGGATCATTCTTTTTGTATACCACTTTTGTATTACAATGTACATGTTGAGGTGGAGAGATTTTTGCGAGTGTAGTTGGATCGATTCAATTCAATTTCTTATTATTTATTCTTTGAAACCGATCCCATAACATGTGTCCTCACGTTAAAATTTAAAATAAAAAAATGGTGAATCTCAATATTGTCAAATAACAATCGAATAAAAAAAGGCATTGAACTCAAAAACAAAAAAGTCCAAAAACTTATTATATGACAGAATCTATAACAACTCAAGTTCAAAACCTGTTATGTATCATATTCAACCTCAAGATTTTCGTTTAGAAAATCAATAAGTTGATGATTAGATTAGTTCAAAAAGATCAAGTGGTCAAAAATCAATATAAGAAGATCAATAAATTAAGATGGATCAAAGAAGATTAACAAGTTATAAATCGACCGAAGAAAATCAACAAGCGTAAAGTTAAAAGCTCAACCTCAAAATTAAACATCTCGATGTTCGAGTCAGGCACATGTTAATATACATTAAAAAAATATGAATACAAGTAGTGGCTAAACGTTGAATTTGTATAGAAAAATATATGGTCAATCCAAATATGAGGTTGAATTTATATATAAAAATGTATGGAAATCCCGAAGAGCACGTGAAGGAAGTGATAGGACGATGGCTGGGACTATCCAACCACCACCACCAATTCACATCTACCTACCTACCACTAGAACCCTAGAACCAGTTCAATAATCCTAAGTAAAGTGATCATGCTGTAGAAGATGCATAAGGATTAGTGTTAGGTATATAAGTGAGGACAAAACATGTGGAAAAAATCTATATTAACTTGTGGGGATAATTTTTACGAAAAGTAAAGTGAATATGGACCACACATGCAAACTTATCTAAAACTACATTATTGAAAAAACTCAACCCAGGCAAGAGATTGACTTAGACTTGGTCGTCTTTGACTTTTCAAAATCTTAACACCAAAACAAGACATCGACTTAGACTTTTCAAAAACTTGGTTGCATGAAAAAACTATAAATTGGAGCACAGAAGAAGTCCACAACCCACAACTCCAAACCAAATTCGTTAGAGTTATTTGAAGGATAAGAAATGTCCGGCGGTACTCCGATGAACGCACCAAACGGAACGCCATGGTCCACCGGCCTCTGCGACTGCTTCGACGACATGGGATCATGTAACTTCATTCTCCTTCTCCATCTCTCTTACTCCTTTTTGTTTACGCTTTTAAATAATTATTTAATTTACAGGTTGCTGTACGTTTTGGTGTCCATGCGTGCCTTTCGGGCAAGCCGCAGAGATCATAGATGAAGGATCAACTTGTAAGCTTCATTCCATCCATGGCTAACCTAACATTCTACTAAACTTAATATTTAGCCAAAGAAACAAAAAGTCTAATAGGGAGAAGTTTCTACATCCTATATGATCTCACAATCCACCCCACTTGGAGGTCCAGCGTCCTCGTTGTCACATGGCTCAATGTATGGATCTCATATTATTTATAACAGTTGAAGCCTACCGCTACTCAATATTGTCATTTTTCCCCATTTTACTCTAATATAAAATTTAAGAAGTGGGTCTAATATAAAATTCTCAGTTCAATTTCTATTCCTACCAAACCGACCCGTTCGGTTCGATTCTGGATCGGATTCAAAACTAGGGAAACCGAACCGAGTATTCCGTAGCAATAATATTACAAGAAGTGGGCCTAAAATTGATTGAAAGTATTCATTAAAGAAGATTATTTCCAAGATAGCAGCAATGATTGGAGGCACTAGTGTTGAACTGAAAATGACAGAACAGTTTATATGTTTATGGTTGTGGATGCAGCTTGTTTAGGTCAGGCATCGATTTTCACTGTGATTTCTTGCTTTACGCCCTGCATATGTCTTTATACATGCCATTATCGTTCTCGATTGAGGGCAAAGTATCAGCTTCAAGAAACTCCCTGCAACGATTGCTGTGTTCATTTTTGGTGTTTGGGTTGTGCAATGTGTCAAGAGTACCGTGAGCTCAAGAATCGTGGTTTCGACATGCATATCGGTAATTTCAATCTCTTCAACTTTCAAAAAACTTCAATAACACCTTTAAACCTTTTATTAAGGTTCAATAATACTCTTACCGTATCTATAGACGAAATCATTCGTTCTATGTTTTAAAAATACTCGTGAACTTTTAAAAGTAACATTAATATTTTTGAAATTTTAGAGAAAGAAAATTAAAATTTTGAAGATGATCTAAGAGGTGTGGATAGACGATTTCTATCCATATATCGATGGTTAAACTTTTTTTAAAAAAGTTGAAGGATATTAATCAAAATTTTTAGAGTTGATATATTTTTGAAACACTATTCAAAGGTCAAATTTATTTTTGAAACAAAGTATTAAGGGTTTCCCTCTAAAATTTACTATAGGTAATATTTTAATTTTTTTTTTTTGTTGAAAATTTAAGAGTATTTTGATTACTTTAGCCCTAATCTTACAAAAACAATAAGATTGAACGTTGTGCTCAGGTTGGCAAGGAAACATACAGAAACAAAATAAAGGATTAGAGATACCGCCTATGGTGGAAGGACAAATGAAACGTTAGAAGTTTGAAAGACTTAAAAAAGAGTGTTATGAAAGGGAAGGAATAAGAAGAATGGTTGTATCCTCTTTCCATTTAGTTGTTTGCATATCTTTATTGAGTTTCTATGGGGTTGGTTTGTTCGGGTCAAGTTTTAATGCAGTATGTATATTGAGTTTCTATTGGGTTGGTTTGTTCGGGTCAAGTTTTAATGCAGTATGTAAGTACGATGTTATTGTTTGGATTGAATTTCTAGTTCATTTAAGACCAATAATATTAATTTTCGAGTACAGAAACTCTAGTTTAATATCAATGATTTTGAGTAACTCATTTTGTAAAATATATGGCCCCAATATCACGTTTAATAATATATATATAGAAAACTGTATGGCCCAAATTATAATCTATGATCCAAATATGGCGTTGAATTTGTGATAGAAAAATTATGGAAAACCCCAAAAGAGCACGTGAAGGAAGTGATAGGGTTGATGTCATGTCCAATGAATGCCAACGCTGCGACTTTCCAACCACCACCAATTCACATTTACTTTTCTCTGGCGGCCCCTCCCCTCCGAGCAAGTTTAGGTTAACTGATTTCTTACCAATTTTCATACCAAATATAAAACAACCTGTACTGTATTGGTTCGCAGGGATGATTTTCAGAATAAATAAAGTGACCATAACCCAATAACGAAAATATTATTACTCAACCAAATATTACAGATTTAAGAATAAGAAATAAAATTGGATTCAGGTTTTATCTTCATTGATATCCACAACGTTTAAATAGGATACAAGATACCAACTAATATCTATCAATAACGAAAATATAAACTAACTAAATCTTGATAATAAAATAAAATATACTACTGATGACTAATGATTACTAATATCTAAGATGTATTTTCTGAGGAAGAATATCATATATTTCATAATTAATTTGGTTTATGAAGATAGTTTTCATAGTAAATAACATGAATATGTCCGGTTTTATGAATCCAAATTACGAAGGTTGAGTATGGGATATTACAATTTAAAGAGAAAAAAAAATCTCCCACAGTTTGCATCATATAAGGTAAGGATTCTTAAATGGACCAAACATTTGAAAAGAAACCCAACTGAAGCAAGACATTGACTTACACTTCCCAAAAATCTTATCCTCGTTGGCTTTTTAAAACCTTACCGCCGAAGCATGACATTGACTTAGAGTTACCAAAAATGTTGTCACTTTTCAAAAACTTTGTTATAAGAAACATCAATAAATTGGAGAACAGAAGAACTCCACAACCCAGAATTGGAAATCAAATTTGGTTGGCTTAATTATTTGAAGGAAAACAAGATGTCCGGCGGTATTCCGGTGAATGCAGGCAACGGAACCCCATGGTCCACCGGCCTCTGTGACTGCTTCGACGACATGAGATCATGTAACTTCCTTCTCCTCCATCTCTATTACTTACAATCATAATAAAATCACTGTTATCCAATGTTTTTCAAAAATAATTTACTCCTTTTTGTTTATGCTTTTAAATTATTATCTTTTCATTCCATAATTAAATTTTATATCTCAACCAATTGAATTATATTTATGAATTTAATTTACAGGTTGTTGTACGTTATGGTGTCCATGCGTGTCTTTCGGGCAAGCTGCCGAGATCATAGATGAAGGATCAAGTTGTAAGCTTCATTCCATCCAATGCTAAACTACTTCTAATCAACGTTTAATATAAAACTCTCATAAATAGTTTGATTGAGTCCAAAACTAGGGAAACCGAACCGAGTATTTCGTAGTAATAGTATTATTACAAGAAGTGGGTCTAATATTAAGTGTTTATATGTTGTTGGTTGTGGATGCAGCTTGTTTGGGTCAGGCATCGATTTTCAGTCTGATAGCTTGCTTTACGCCCTGCATATTCCTTTATACTTGCTACTATCGTTCTCGACTGAGGGCAAAGTATCAACTTCAAGAAACGCCCTGCAACGATTGTTGTGTTCACTTTTGGTGTTTGAGTTGTGCAATGTGTCAAGAGCATCGTGAGCTCAAGAATCGTGGTTTCGACCCACATATTGGTAATTTCAATCTCTTCCACTTTCTTGAACTTTATTTTAAGTTAAAAAATACTCTTACCACTAGTATACAGACGAAACGGTTAATTTCACGTTTCAAAAATTTCTATGAACTTTCAAAAATAACATTAAGATTCTTAAACCTTAAAAAAAAAATTAAGTTTGAAGATGATCTATAAAGTATCTATATATGGTTGGTAAGATTTTTTTTTTTTAATTTCTTTTAATAGAAGTTAAGATGGTTAATATTAGTTTAAAAATTTTATGGATATTTTTTTAAATATGGTATTAATGACAAGGGTATTTTATTTATTTATTTTTTTATGTAAAAAAAAATATTAATGGAACTTTTTATAATTGAAGTATATATTTTTAAATATTATTGAAAGTTTAATCGTATTTTTGAAATAAAATACGGATAAAGAAATTTTTTTATACTTTTTTAAAAGTTTAAGAATATTATTTAAACTTTTGAAAGTTAAGTGTAATTTTTTAGACAAAGTATAAAATTCAAGAATATTCTTATTACTTTAGACTATATCTTATGAAAGCGATGATATTGAATGTCGTGCTCAGGTTGGCAAGGAAACATGCAGAAACAAAATATGGGTATAGAGATCCCGCCCATGGTTGAAGGACAAATGAAACGTTAAAAGCTTGAAAGACTTAAAAAGAGTCTTATGAAAGCAAAGGAATAAGAAGAATGGTTATTTCCTCTTAACATTTCGTTGTCTGAATCTTTTTATTGAGTTCCTTTTCTACCGTTCGTTTGTTCAAGTCAAGTTTTAATGTAATATGAATAGTTCAATTAAGACCAATGTTCGAGTTTTTTTTAGGAACTCTATATTATCTTGAAACTTTTAAATTTTTTAGTTCAATTTCTTCTGTGGATGATGATAATAGTTACACAATAAGTCACAAGAAATCATTAGATTTTTCTCTCTACAAAATCCAAATTATGAACCTTGATCGAACTTGAACTAATATATAGCCACATTAACCGACCTATCCCCACCTGTAGACCCTTAGCAGTTCAAAGTACAAAACTAGTTAAATATGGTAGAATAGGTTGGAAGCCAAGGGAAGCAATTTCCCTTGTTCAAGAACTTACTTAGTGCTTTTGCTCTGCCGAATTCAAAAGAATAGTAGCAAGCAGCGTTACAAGAATGCCAAAGTCATCTATGTTTTTAGTTTGGGTGTTTTGGTCGTGGAACTCATCGGTGCTGAGCGGAACTTGTCATTTAGCTCATTTGTCCAAGTTGAGAACTTACTTGATTGGATAAGATTTTCTCTTTCCTTCTCCACCATTCTAGCCGTCCATCGTCGTTGCCATTACTGTCATCCAAGGATAAGGAACGTTCAGATCTAGCGAGAGAATCCAAAAGTACAATAATTAAAATATGATTTAAAACTAAATTTTATAATAAAGTTTTTATTTATCAAATTAAAGAATTTGTAACGGCATTAAATCATATTAAAAAAAAATGGTATTTTTTTTTTTTTTTAATGTAAGAACAAATGAAGAGAGTGAGGTTGATGTGACATTCAATGAATGCGAACGCCAATCGAGTACAATTTAGCCCATTTTTCAATAGAATGATTGTGACTAGCCAACCACCTTCAATTCACATCTATCGCCCCTTTAGGCTGAAGAGAAAGACGAAACATTTTTATAAAGATATAAAAATATTTTTGTAGTATATACATTTTAAAATTATAAGATTAACGACGATAGGTAAAAAACACAAATATATAAAATATTTACTAACAAAATACAGTTTTGCTACATTATTATAATTCTCTCATTTTCACACTTGATTTCATTATTTCTGTAAGATTCCGGTACTGTGCTTTTGGTAGGCTCGCACTTGGTAACATTTAACATGTGTCCCTTTAAATATATTTATCAAGAGTTCCACGTTCTTATGTTAGATTTTTAATCTTTCCATCCAAATTTTATGTCTTACTTACAAGGGTTATGCCCAAACTGGCTAAATGCCATGTTAGAGGTTTTTTTTGTTTTAGATAAATCTAAAATTTGTGTGTTTTTAGTCATTGTATTCAAGTATTCTTGTTGGGTTGGGAAAATATTGTGAACCTTTTTCTAGTCCCTGGTTTCTAAAAATTTAATTTTGAGGAGAAGCTCAAAAAAAAAATAAAAAGTAAAAAAAGATAATATTAAATAAGGTTTACAATTCCAGTGTTAATGGGTGGTGGGCTATAGTTTTTACATGTTACTTAATAACATGAGTACGTATTGGGATGCAGATATTTTTTAAAATCAGTCTCCCAGAGTTTGCATCAATATAACATAGGAAAGATAAAGGAGTCTCATATGGACCACACATACAAACATTATCTAAAACAACATTATTGATAAAACCCAACCCAAACAAAACATCAACCTAAACTTTCCAAAATTTTGTCCACTTTAACTTTTTTTAAAATATGTTCTAAGAGAAAAAAAAAAACAATAAATTGGAGGACAGAACAACTCCACAACCCGGAATTCGAAGGCGAATTTGGTAGGCTTATTTGAAGGAGAAGAAGATGTCCGGCGGTATTCCGGTGAATGCAGGCAACGGAACGCCATGGTCCACTGGCCTCTGTGACTGCTTCGACGACATTGGATCGTGTAAATTCATTCTCCTTCTCCATCCCTATTAATTACAATCATTCTTACTCTCTCCTCTTTTATCAAATATTTTTTCATAATGCTTACAAATTTGAATTATATTTATGAATTTAATTTACAGGTTGCTGTACGATTTGGTGTCCATGCGTGCCTTTCGGGAGAGCCGCCGAGATTATTGATGAAGGATCAAGTTGTAAGCTTCGTTACATCCATTTGCTATACTAGGAGATTTTATGAAAATCAAAGAGACTAAATTCAAAAAATGGATCTAATATAAAACTCTCATAAATAGTTCGATTTTACATTTCTACCCAACCGATCTGTTCAGTTTGATTCTCGGTTGGGTCCAAAACTAGGGAAACCAAACCGAGTATTCCCTAGTAATGGTGTTACAAGAAGTGGGTCTAATATTAAGTGTTTATATGTTTATGGGTGTGTGTGCAGCTTGTTTGGGTCAGGCATCGATTTTCACTGTCATAACTTGCTTTACGCCCTGTATATGCCTTTATACTTGCTACTATCGTTCTCGATTGAGGGCAAAGTATCAACTTCAAGAAACTCCTTGCAACGATTGTTGTGTTCACTTTTGTTGTCTGGGCTGTGCAATGTGTCAAGAGTATCGTGAGCTAAAGAATCGTGGTTTCGACATGCATATTGGTAATCTCAATCTCTTCGACTTTCAAGAGTGTTTCAAATTTTAAGTTAAAAAATACTCTTGTCGTTAGTATACACGTTACTTCCTTATTTCAAAAATACTCATGAACCTTCTAAAGTAATATTAATATTTTTAAACTTTAAAAAAAAAAATTAAAAGTTTTGAGATAATCTATGCTATGTAGACTATATTTAGAATTTTGTGAGTATTTTTAAACCTGGTATTAAAAGGGTATTTTCAAACTTTTTAAAAAGTTGTAAAAAGGTATTAAGGATGTTTTTGAAACATAAATACCAACGATTTCCAAAACCAATGGTAAGTATATTTTTAAAATTTTAAGAATTTTGTTGGAAGTTCAAAGGTATTTTTATTAATTTAGTCTATATCTTATGAAAGTGATGATATTAAACATTGTGCTCAGGTTGGCAAGGAAACGTGCAGAAACAAAACAAGGGATTAGAGATCCCGCCCGTGGTCGAAGGACAAATGAAACGTTGAAGCTTGAAAGACTTAAAAAAAAAAAAAAAAGTCTTGTGAAAGCCAAGGAATAAAAAGGATGGTTGTTTCCTCTTTGCATTTCGTTGTGTGCATCTTTTTATTGAGTTCCTCTTTTCTAGTGTGTTGGTTTGCGCAGGTCAAGGTCAAGTTTTAATGCAGTATGTAAGTACGGAATGTCATTGTTTGGATTGAATTTCTAGTTCATTTAAGACCAATAATATTAATGTTCGAGTATGTAATTGAGAAACTCTAGATCATCTTCAAACTTTTAAATTTTCTAGTTCAATTTCTTCGAGGCATAACGAAGATAGTTACACAATAAGTCACAAATAATCATTACATTTTTCTCTCTACAAAATCGAAATTATGCACACTCATCGAACTCGAACTAATATATAGCCACATTAACCGACCGATCCCCAGCTGTCGACCCTTGGCAATACAAAACTGGTTAAATATGCTACAATAGCATGGAAGCCAAGGGAAGCAGCAGTTTGACAAGCCCAAACTGTGATGGAGATCATGCATGAATACAAATACACAAATGCTAGCACAAGCAGCATCACAAGAACGCCAAAGTCATTAATAAAACACAAAGGATGGTTGAACTTGTGTAAGGGATGGTACCATAGAGATGCTTTGGAAGGCAGCCACCAGCTGAATCAGAAGAATTTGAGGATGGAGCCAGAGATGTGCTGTTTACTAAAGTGCCATTACTTCCATTACTGCATTGGAAAAAAAATATGTGGAGACAACATTCAGCAAGAGTAGTCACAGACATAATTCGGTATAGATATTTAAGAGTCGTTCGCAGTTACCTTCCCGGAAATATACACGTACCGTGACCTGCAACAAGAAACATCAAACCGAACATTAGCAACCATATCAAATCATTAGCAATCGTTCAAGATTTCATACTTGGGTTTGTGGTGGTGATGATAGCCACTCCTTTAAAATCACAGGTCCCTGGAGACTTGGCCATTTTCTGGTAATAAGCATTGAAAGCATAGGTTGAATGGGCTATAACATTATCTGGTTGATAACATGCCTGCCCCTGCAACAGCGGGGAACAATCGACTTTCCCCGGTCCACACGCCCAATCCAGTGCTGCTTGCAACATCCTACGATCAGCACCGTCTCGTGCAACACAGAACGTTTGGTTTGTGGTATCATTTGCCAAAACAGCACCAGCACCAGTCAAGTGCAATGTATAAACTGGCATTCCATTAGAATTGAAGAGACCCCAATTCTTTTCTGAGACTGAACCAGGTCTTAAATCCTCATTGTAGAGCTCATATATGTAGGTACTAACAGGAACACCCGGATGCTTAGGCGTTCCAGTGTTGTTAAGAACATGTCTAATTAAGTTGCTATTGTAAGTGTTAGCATTATCCAAAGTTGCATCTGGCTCCGATGCATCGCCCTTGGATGGCCAGCCTGACTCCGTAACAACGACTCGTATGTTCGTGAAGTTTAAATCCGACATTGCGAAATAGGCAGCATCAACAACCGCATCAAAGACATTAGTATAGTGCAATAGGGTATTGGCATCAACAGCCTCCTTGGTTGGAGGGAGGGGCCGGAAAAGTGCATAGTCTAGAGGAATCACACCATTTGATTGCATGTAATCATAATAGGGATAAACATTAAGCATGAGATAAGAGCCAGTGGACTGCAAGAATTGAAGTAAAGGAACCATGACAGGGTCCCATGAACGGTTAAAGAAGGCCTGTGATGGAGGGAAGGAGTCGAGAATAATGGAAGAAGAATGCGGGGTAGACACTTTGATTTGGCGATCCAGATTGGATGCAAGGAGAGCAGAGTGAATGAATTTGAGAGCCGAGACAAGGATTGGGGCAGCATTTGGAAGAGTGGTAAGAACATCAGAGCCAATGGCTATGCCTGTGATGTTGGTGGCAGGAACATGGGCAACGACATTCCGAGCAACCCAGTTGGCTGCAGTCGCATTGGATTGGCCAATTCCAAGAAGTTGGTCATTGGGTACAGAAACAATGACTTGGATGCCTGTGTTGGCAAGAGCAAGAAGCATAGCCCGGTCGGCATCATATAGCCTGAGATGTCTAATATTTTGAGCTTTGAGAAGTGCAACTACCTGAGTGGGGTTGGGCATATCAGAAAGATCCATACCAAGGTTCACACCAATGAACGCATCTGCAATTATATAAAGAAAACAATATAATTTCAAACACACAAAACAGGATGATGATAAACTGCACTAATTGCAATGCATGTTTCACCTTCCCCATATTTTGATGTTCTTAGCTAATCTGAGTAAGGAAAGCGCTCTCACATCAAGTTCTTTTAATACCCATTACACACCACATGCTACATTTTTAACCATGAAACTAATTCCAATGGATGTTGAAAAGGTTTGCAGTAAAATGAAGGGAAACCCACAAAAGACAGAGTGAAATAACACAAATTACAGCAAAATCTAACAAGAAACCCCAAAAGAAAAGCTTAAAAAAGGAGGGAAAAGCATAAGATTGATAGAATGGCAAGAACAGGATTAGATAAGAAGGAATAAAGGGGCACCTTGATCAGCAGAAACAGCAGAAACGGCGAGAAGGAAAAAGAGCAAAATCATAGCCATAGAAGAAAGGAAAACAGAAATCGTTCCCTTGAAACCCTCAAAGATTGAAAAAAATGGTGTGTAGCAAAAACCCCAGAACCCGCACAAATTCAAAATCTATGTCGGACTCCAAAAGGAGAAGAATCCCGAAGAACAGAGAACAAAAAAAAGGAGCAAATTTTGAAGAGGGAGAATAAAAAAGGGGGAATATCTGTGGTGTGTTTGAGAGAGTGGTGCAGAGATATGTCAGAGATCCAAGGGTGGAGATTTGATGAGGGTTCAGCGTAATCCTTGATGGTTACCATAGAGGATTATATTGGAGATGTGTGGATATAAAGAAAAAATGATAAATAATTTTATTTTTCTTAATTTTGTTGAGTGATGAGTGTGCTGGGATTTGTCTTTTGTGTTGAGATTGAAAACTGTACAGAAAAGTAGCCAAAGTTGGATGCTACCAGAGTGGCTGACATGGACTGAAACTGCCAGCTGGATCCCAACGGTCCTCTTCTTCAATTTTTTTTCCTTTTTTCTTTTTTTGTTAAAAGTTAAAACATTTGGTTATTTTGATTTACGCGTTTATTTAATTAGTTTTATTAAACAATTTTGAAGTGAAAGTAAGGTCAAAACAAAAGTTGTTGCTGACGTTGGAAAGGAAGCAATGCATGCACGAGTGCCAGCAAAGATTTAATAATAATAATAATAATAAATTTATAAATAAATAAAACAATTTAAAAATCCTCTCTTCTCGTAATGGTAATCACTAAATATTATTCGCTTTATTTTATTACGTATTATCGGCCGTCTCATGATTTTTTAGACCCTCTTCCTAATATTTCAATTAAAAATTCTAAATAAAAAAAAGATCTATAATTGATTATAAAGCAAGAAAAGTAATTAAAAGTGACAAATAGATTTAAGATCCAATAAAGTTTTTAGCATAGGGTAATTACACCCTCCTTTATAAAAATATATATAAATAAATAAATAATAATTAAAGTATTCAGCTTGTGTATATGTGTTAATGTGGGCTATGCCGAATATAATTGTGGGCTTTGTGTGTTTGTCTTTTAATGGTTACGCCATGGCCTCTTTTGTTAAAATATTAGTTTAATGTATTATAAAAGAGGGTAACTAAATAGATAAAACAGAACCATAAAAGTAATAGAATATAATAAATGATAAACCACCCATACTTAGAATCCATGTGCCACTCATTATTTGTTTCCATCATATGCTAACCCATGTTCATCCACGTCATCCATATATTTTAATTAATGGATTTAATATTTTCGCATATGGTTCAATAATCATACAATCACATATATTATGAAGATTCGAACATAATAAATAAATTTGAGCTTGTGTGGACAATAATAAATAAATTTATCGGGTTGAAACCAAGGCCCAAGAAGACGGAGGCCCAATTCCACCCCCCTTTTTTTGTTTTATTTCTTTTGCTTTAAAAATACCCAACAAAACCAAAGATGACACTCCTTTTATCATGGGGGCATTTCCCTTTCTAAATTATTTGCACGTCCTTATCACTTAAAAGCTCCAAACCAAAATATGAAAATTTATAATAAAATTTAATAGATGAAATGGTAAATATTTATTGGTCAATTTATATATATATAAAAGAATATATTAATAGTAAATTTTAAAATATGGTATTTGTTCTAATAAAGCCATTTGCTCCAAAGTTGATTTAAGTAAATGCGATTAGAAAAGATATCTATCTATCATCATCCATGTGCCCAAATATATTATTCCTTTTACTTTTTAACTAAATAAATATATATATCCTTTTTACCATAAAAGAAACACCTCATTCATCAACACTATTAAATATATATATCATACTTTTTATAATATATTTCACAAAATATGCTTTAAAAAATAAGCACAATTAAAAATTAAAAAAATATATTCTTTTTTGTAATGATACACGCTTAAGATTTGGACAAGAATTATAATTCCATTATTCTCCTGCATCTATTGCAGCACGGTCATGATACTTACTCTTTTGTTGTTAAAAGTGAAGACTATCGCACATATTAATATTCAATTCCTATGAACTTTTTTTTTTTAATTATCTTATGTTCAAGATCGCTTTAATACGTGGTATCCATCTAATTTTTGTGATTTTTCTTCTCTTTCATGAACCGTGGTTTAAAGTAAGCATTAATTGGCCAAAAAAAAAAAAAAAAAGAGAGTAAAGGTAGGATTTAAAGAGCTTTATAGGAAGGAACACATTTTTAATTGAAATGTAAAGGTTGAATGATGACGAAGGAATGAATGTTCTTTTTAACAAACCATTTCTTTTATTAAAACTAGTAACAAAATTTTGTTATAAAAAACTTCTTTTTTTTATTTTTTTATTTTTATTTTGCTTCCTTTCATTGTAGTGCATGCAAGCTCCCCTATGGTCGATAAGTGGTGTCGAGTAGCTTGACCGACTACCTTAAAGTGGAAGACACCTTTGAGTAGATCACCCTCTAGGACATTCAACAATAGACCCTTTTGATACTAGGAATCATATAAATATCAAAGTTACTCGGTTAAGGTGCATAAACCAAAATATGCTCACCACAACACAACCCATACTCCATATTAACTCAACATTAGAGTGCACATGAAAAGGACCAGGATGTGAGATCTCTCTAAAAACAAAAATAATATTAAAAATAGACATCATGGGCAAATCTAATTAAGCAATAAAATTAAATTAGAAATGAAAACTCATTAAAATATTGATTTCATGAAATTAGATGGCGAGGACGGGAGACCTATCCAGATTAAGTTCAAAGAACCTTCAACGATTCCAACAATTTTTCGAACGATTCCAACAATTTTTCGACTCATCCAAGAATAGTCTGAAAGAATAAGAACTTCGGTAAAATTTGGGAATATATATTCTTTCTCATTTAGCCAAAAGTAAAAATAAAAGGTGTAGTTAACATTTATATATATAGAGGCACAGTTTTTAAAAAACGAAAAAGAAGAAGAGGACGCAAGGAAGGATTTATGACCCTATCGACAATTCCTTTTTTATTTTTTTCTTTAAAAAAATTAAAACTAATAAATACTAATATTCTACCGTTTGTGTAACAAAAGGGGAAAATAAAAAGATGGACGAGTTGAGGGCAATAAATCGTTAGGTGGGCAAATACATCGGATTCATTAATAAGTTAGCCACGTGCGGAAAGCCAGGTGGCAGCCTCTGAGAGAATGACAATAAATGCAAGTGGTTCCACCGCCGTAGTGATGGGCGAAGAGGGGTCTTCACAATTCGCACGTTTTGAGTTACCGGCTAAGCCGGTCGTCCTCACTGGATCTCTTCCGGTAAACGCTTCCGATTAATTCAAAAGCATGCTTAAATTCCAACGACGGCCAGGATCCAATAATACGCCCTCTCTCTTTCTCTCTTGCTTGCTTTCGTTTTTGGTGCAGTTGAATTTTCTCTTAAGCGTCTTTGCCCTTCTCTTTGTTTCAGAGTTGGTCGGATTTGAGGTCTTTTCTGGTGTCAACTTTGGTCTGAAATGGAGAGGGATTTTTTAGGTCTCAGCTCCAAGGAGGAGCCATTGGCTAAGGTGAAAGAGGAAATTGACAACGATGGAGCCCAAGGTTTTGGTTATTTTTCCAATTCCATTTTGTTTACCTTAATGAACTTTCACGAACTTTGTCGTTGTTTAATTCATTTTATTTCTTCTGTTTTTTAATTCTCTGTTTATGGCTGGTTGAATCTTGATGTTTGGAATTTTCTTTTTTTAATAGTGTTCTTGATTGGAGATGTTTTTTGTTAAGTGGTGATTGTTTGTGATTGGTCGGTGAAATTTTGTTGGATGACCAAATCCTCTTTAATTTCAGTTTAAATCTGTTTTTCTGCCAAGAAATTTGGGGGCCTTGATGTTTTGAAGCTCCATAATTTCATTTGTAGTTCTTGTTAGTCAAGATAATTGTTAAGGATAGTTGACCGTCACTATAAGGCAAATATCTAGATATTTGCCTTACATTACGGGTTACCATATTTGCCCTCTTATTAAAGGCAAATATATTGCATTCATTTATTATTCTTTCCTTTTATTACTATTTCCATAATATTTGTAATTTACCATATTTCTGTATTCTGAAAATAATTATAAATAAGAGAACTCTCACCCCCATTGAGGTGTGGTGATTCAGCAAACATTCACATGGTATCAGAGCCCTTTCGGTTTAACAACCCTGATCCTTTCTTCTCTATGGCTTCCGAATCTTCTTATCATCTTCTTCCTTTCAATACTCTAATCCATATGATCACCATCAAACTTTCTTCCTCCAATTATCTTCTTTGGAAAAGCCAACTTCTCCCTCTTCTTGAGAGTCAAGACATGCTGGGCTATGTCGATGGAACCAGGGTTCCACCACCTCGCTTTGAACCAGAAACCTCTTCAACACTCAACCCCAAATATTTGGCATGGAGAGCAGCCGATCAACGACTTCTCTGTCTCCTGCTCTCCTCTCTCACTGAGGAAGCCATGGCTGTTGTCGTTGGTCTCCCTACTGCACGTGATGTTTGGCTTGCGTTGGAAACTACGTTCAGCCATCAGTTCAGCACATTATGACAATTTTCATCCCTTTGGTTGTCGTGTTTATCCTTATTTGCGTGATTATATGCCTAACAAGCTTTCTCCCCGCAGCATTCCTTGTATTTTTTTGGGTTATAGTCCTGCTCATAAAGGGTTTCGCTGTCTTGATCCGGCCACCACTAAGCTATATATCACCTGTCATGCTCAATTTGATGAAACCCACTTTCCTGCTATCCCTAGCTCCCAGACCCAACCTCTTTCCTCTATTCCTATTTCAAATTTCTTAGAACCACATTTTCATCATATTGATTCATCCCCCCCTACCACTTCATCACCGCAAACTCCTCGATCCAGTTCATCCCCGTGTGATATTTGTTCTGACCTTGTAGATGAGTCTGTGCAGGTTGATACTTCTCTTGCAGGTTC